TTAGGTTGTTTCCAGCTCTTTGCTATTGTGACCAAAGCAGCAATAAACATGGGTGTGCATATTATTTGCTCGGGTGGCTGTTATGGTTTCTTTGGAATGTATTCCCAGTAGTGGAATTGCTGGGTCAAATGGTATTTCTGTTTCTATTTGCTATTGGCAACTTTTTGAGAAAGTGCCATATTGCCTTCCATAGTGGCAACTTTTTGAGAAAGTGCCATATTGCCTTTCATAGTGGCTGCACCATTTTACACTCCCACCAGCATTTGTTGTTCGCTGTTCTATTAAATTTTGCTATTCTTACTGAAGTGAGATGATATCTCATAGTTGTATTGATTTGCATCTCTCTTAGAACTAGGGATTTTGAACATTTCTTCATGTGCTTGTTGGCCATCTGAATGTCTTCTTTGGTGAAGTGTCTGTTCATATCCTGTGTCCAGTTTTCAATTGGGCTATTTACCTTTATCTTGTTGTGGTGCTCGCATATTTTATAAATTCTAGATATCAGTCCTTTATTTGACATGTCATTATCAAGTACTTTTTTCCCAGTCTGTGGCTTCCCTTTTTACCCTGCTGGAGAAGTTTTTGGATGTGCAGAGGAATTTTATTCTTAGAAGGTCGCATTCATCTATTTTATCCTTTCTTGGTTGTAGATTTTTCATGATGTTTGGAAGACTGTTTATGTTGTGGATTAGTATGTCTACAGTTCTTTCAAGCTTTTCTTTAATGAAGTTTATAATCCTTGGTTTTAGTCCTAGGTCCATGATCCACCTTGAGTTCGTTTTTGTGTATGGAGTGAGGTGTGGATCTTTCTTGAGTTTTCTGCAGATAGTTTTCCAATTTTGCCAACATTTGTTATAAAGGCTATCATTTCCCCACTTAACTGATTTCATCTCCTTGTCAAAAATCAGTTGACCATAGGTAGATGAGCTGATTTCCTGGTTCTCAATTCTATTCCATTGATCTATGTGTTTGTCGTTGTACCAGTACCGCACTGTCTTGACCACCACGAGTCTTTGTTTTCTTGATATCGAGCTTCAGTCTATACTGAAGGCTGCAGTCCTTGACCTTCTGCAGCAAGTGCTTCAGGATCTCCTCCATTTCAGCAAGCCAAATTCACATTCAAAGATATAGAAAAGGCAATTTGCAAGGCATTTGGAAATGAAAGAGACCCTAAATAAACAAAGCACTTCTTAAAATAAAAAAATGTGAGTGACATAGCACTCCCTGATCTCAAAATCTACTACACAGAAGTAATAATCAAAATAGCATGGTATGGGTACAATAACGGGCACATAGACCAATGGAACAGAATTAAGAACCCAGAAATTAACCCATCTACCTATTGGTTAACAGATATTCCGCAAGTAAACAAAATCTATGAAATGGAGTAATGACAACCACTTCAACAAATGGTTCTGGCATAATCTGGACTTCTACCTGTAGAAAGTTGAAGCAGGCTCCACATCTCACACCATACACAAAAATCAACTCAAATTGAATCAGAGACCTAGGGGCAAAGTCCAAAACCATAAAGAGATAAAATGGGACAAAATTTAGCACCACAACAAGATAAAGGTAAACAACTCAATTGAAAAATGGGCACAGGATATGAACAGACTCTTCACCAAAGAAGACATTCAGATGGCCAACAAATACATGAAGAAATGTTCAAAATACCTAGTTCTAAGAGAGATACAAATGAAAACAATTATAAAATATCATTTCACCCCAGTAAGAATAGCAAAATTTAACAGAAGAGCAAGCAAGAAATGTTGGTGAGGTTGTGGAGAAACTGGAACCCTTATTCACTGTTGGTGGGAGTGTAAAATGGTGCAGCCACTATGGAAGGTAGTATGGCACTTTCTCAAAAAGTTGCAAATAGAAATATAATTGACCCAGCAATTCGACTATTGGGAATATATCTCAAAGAAACTATAAACGCCACCTGAGCAAGTAATATGCACACCTATGTTTATTGCTGCTTTGGTCACAATAGCAAAGAGTTGGAAACAACCTAAGTGCCCATCAACAAATGAATGGATAGAGAAGCTATGATATATTCACACAATGGAATACTACGCTGCATTGAAAAACAAGGAACTCATGAAATATTATACAAAATGGGTGATCCTGGAAGACATTATGCTGAGTGGAATATGTCAGTTACAAAAGGACAAATACTGCATAATGCCACTGTTGTAAAATGATACTGATATCGGGGCTGGGGTAAGACTGAGAAAGATGGGCTAAATTATGTGTACTGTATTGAAACAGATGAGGGCGAGAACTGTCTAAAAGGGATATATGATAAGGTATTATTGTCATGACAGCAGTCCAGAACAAAGACTGCCTAGTGGGGTGGACTTGGGGGGAGGGATTCTATAACAATGAAAGAATGTTTCCTTTACTTTTCAAAAAGAAGAGTAAACTGGAGGATGGGAGGGGTGGGCAGGGAGAAAAGTGCAACAATGAATGAATGGAAATCCAAAGTCTCTACAGAGACTTTATCTTTCATTAAAATTAATAATAATAATAAAAATGGGACAGCATTTAATAGGCCTAGCCTATAATGTAAAGAGACTGGCAAATAATAGCCAGAAATGCACAACCAGGAGAGAATAACATCGATGAATGGGGCCTCCTAAAGTCCCTGTGTGCATCAAAGAATTTTTCCAATAGGGTGATAAAAAAACCAAATTACTGACTGGGAGAAAATATTTCACAATGCCATCTCAAACAAAAGTCTCATAACAAAAGTGTACCAGATACTACAGGACCTCTACAAGAAAAAGACTGATAAACTAATTACAAAATGGGCAAAAGACATGGATTTCATAGAGAAAGACATTCAGATGACCAACAGACACATGAAGAAATGCTCAAAATCATTGGCAATCAGAGGGACACAAATGAAAAACAACAACGAGACAACATCTCATCCCAGTAGCAGTGCAAAAGTTTAACAGGATTACAAGTAATAAATGTTGGAGAGGAGGTGGTGAGATTGGAACTCTCATACACTGTTGGTGGAATTGTAAAATGGTACAACCACTCTGGAAGGAAGTTTGGTGTTTCCTCAGAAAGCTGACCATAGAAATCTTATATGACCCAGTTATTTCACTGCTAGGAATATACCCTGAGGAAATTAGAACTGAGACACAAATGAAGATTTGTATACTGATGTTCACAGCAGTGTTTTCAAAATTGCAGTAATGGATTGAGAAAATATAATACACAATGGAATACTATTGCAGCATTCAGGAGCAATGATAAATTTGAAATAATACTACATAACATGGGTTAGACTAGAGAGCATTATGATGAGTGAATTAACTCAGTCTCACAAGTAGAAATTATGCATAAGACAATTATTATAAAAATAGAAGGATAACGAGTAAGATGTGTAAAAAAAGTCCAAGGGAGGAAAGGGGAGGAAGACAGGTGACTGAGATGGGAAGGGGAGGTATCACAGGGTTGCAGAATTAAGTGGGCAAAGGGAGAAGGTGAAGAAATTAGAAAAGTTGCAATTTGGACCTGAGCAGATGAGGTAATGGTGGGCATATATCAAAGGTTTTATAATTTTAAAAAACATAATGTATGGAAATAATCATATGAAATTCAATATGAATGAAGGAATGTGTTTATATACAATGTATATAAATTTTGTATGCAAACCAATATAAAATAAAATGGGAGATGCCAATTAAATTCTACTAATTAAAAGAGAGGGACATCAAGCTTGGGAGGGTGGAGGGACAGCGCAGGAGGGGAAGACCCTCTAGGTGGTGGATTGATTCAGTGACTGGGGTAATTGGGATGGGTGAGGCAGTGCGATTGGCACAGGATAGAGCAGGGTTTAGGGCTGTTGTACAAAGGGTCACTCTGAGTCGCAAGTGACTTGATGGCACATAACAACAACAACAACAATTAAAAGGTAATATGCAATAAAGTTTAGATGAAGCACTGTAATGAATTATAATTAACATTATAAAATAAAACATGTATTAATTATTTCATGAAAATTTAAGTTATAAACTTGAAAAAATAAAAGAAAATGTTATGAGGGAAAAAAGAAGTCAAGCAAAGTTGTAAGACCTGTCCTGACCAAACAAAGAAAGAAAGACAAAGAAAATTAGACCAATAACCATAGTATTTTCAGTTGTTTCCCATGGAACTGAATACTGGGCAATTAATTAAGAATGATCAAAGAAGAATTGACTGTGGTGTGGTAAAAGGTACTGATTATCCCATGGATTGCCAATAGAACAAGCATATCTTTTGGAGGATGTGTGATTAGGGTACTCTTTAAAAGAAAGAATGGTGAAACTACATTGTCAGGAAGAGGAGCAAGTCCTTGGAAAAAGACAGCATGCTGGGAAAGGGGAAGGGTTCTCAAAAGAGAGAAGGCCTTCAAGAAGATGGACTGACAGGGTGACTCCAATGGGCATCATCATGGAGACTGTGGGGGTGGCACAGGATGGGTCAAGGTTCATATCTGTTATTCACAGGGTCACTATGAGCTATCTTCAACTTGACAGTACCTAACAATGACAGCAAAGATGCCCACTTCCTAAGGTACAAAACTTGAAGATAGGTTACAAGGCAAAAGAAGATCAAGGTTGTATATGAAATAAAAATGGTGAAGCACTTGTGAAATGAGGGGGCTTCCCAGGATTATCCAGGCAGGCACAATGCACTCAGGATGAGCCTTATAAACTGAGAGCAGCAGAAGAGGGTGTCAGAGTGGTGCCAGGTGAGAAAAACTGGACAGGTAATTAAAAAGATGGAAAGGGACTATGAGGCAGCCTCGGTCAACTAGAAAAGGCCAAAGAGAAAAGCAGCCCTGTCAATTTTGACCCAGTGAGATCCATCTCAGACTCTGATCTACGGAACTGTAAAATAATGCATTTGTGGTGTCTTTACATTTATGGTAATTTGTTACAGCAGCAATAGGAAACATCTAGCTTTCATAAGCCAATGGTAAAGAGTTCAATACATACCGCAATAGCAAGTGTGACAGCATCCAATTCCAGCTTCCCCAGATGGCCGCAAAACACAGAGCTTATGAAATTAATCAGAAACACCATCAACTGGGCCAGGAACTGAGAAGAATAAAAACAAGGATGTGGGCACCATCACAAGCAAAAGAGGGAGTGCATTTTCAACCACCATCACCCCTTGAATCAAGTCCAGTCAGAAGTGATGTAATGGGGCATGAAGTGACCTCTGCCACCTTTCACAGATCAATGGACAACTTCTGACAAGCTTCTTGAAATATTTTTATATTTTGCAACTGCTACTTTTAAAACATATTTATACTTTGTATTTTTTTACTTCCCATTCTCACAGCATGTATGTTTTCTCTGAAATGTTCAGAGACTGTCTTCTAAAACCTCCTTGTTATTGAATTTCTTAGTGTGGACTGGGAAAGCTGAGCCTTCAATGTCAAGACTCTAGGCAGCAAGAAGCTCCACAGATAGGAGTACTAAGGGTGACATGAGTCTTGACTAGGAGGCCAGCAGGATCCAGAATTCTGGGAGGGGACTGTCACCTTTGGGCTCCTTTTACTCTTCTCTGGTGTGAAGGAAATGCAGCTTCTCCAGCAGCTAGCAAAATGGTCTGGCTATACACACTTGCACACTTAATTGATTTCTTTAGGTCAATTTAAAGTGATCTCAGCCGCTCTTCCCCCACCCCCCACTTCCATGCCCAGGAGACAGTGTCATTCCGGGGAAAGCTTCTGCACCCCTGAGAGGAGTGTGTGGTCCCAGAGGAAAAGGCATCTGGCTTCTTCAAAGGAAAAAGGGTTGCCTAAGGAGCCTTGGCTGCCTTTGCGTGTGCCTGTGCCATGGTGCCTCTTTGAAAAGCTGATGTTCTCATGCAGAAAGTTATGCTCTGTTATGCTCTTTTCTCTGTGCTAAAGTCAGACAAGGCCTCTTTTGCTTGAGCTCCCAGTCCTCGCCTCCACCAAATGCGTGCAGTCCAGCGATCTCAAACTGGCTGTTTTCAAATCCACCTCTGATTCCTGGTGATCCAAGAGCATCAGAGTAAAATATACTCCTAGGATTTTTAGGGGCTAAGTTTCTGGATCTAGGAATCCCTGCTGCTGTTGTTGTTGGGTGTATTTGAGTTGAGTATGACTCATAGTGACACTGTGAATAACAGATCTGAATCCTGTCCTATCCTGTGTCAGCCTCATCATCTCTGACACACTCAAGCCATTCCGGCAGTCACTGTGTCTATCCATCTGGTTGAGTGTCTTCTTCCGAGTGGGTTCAAATTGCCAAACTTCTGGTTAGCACCAGGGACTGTCCCAGGGCAGGGCTTCCTTCTGGTTTTTTTCATTAGCACTTCTCTCTCTCTCTCTCTCCCTCCCTCCCTCCCTCTCCCTCTCTCTGTTTCCCCTCTCTTCCTCTCTCTCTTTCCTACAGCTGAGTCAGAACTAACTCATAGCTGACACTCCGATGAGTTTTCGGAGGCTGTAAATTTCACAGAAGGAGACTGCCCATCTTTCTCCTGCAAAGCAGCTGGTGGATTGAATCATCTGCCTTTGAATTGGTGGAGCAACTCCTTACCCATTAGGCTACCAGTTCTCCCTTCTCCAGATTGCTACATCAGGACTTGATCATGTGGTCAATCTTTAAAGGTTCAGAATCACTGCCCTTTTTCCATTTCCAGAATCCACATCTGAGGACAGGCAGTTTTCAGCTCCTCAGCTGAGCTCAGACATTTGAAATATGAAAAGCCTTTTACCAGCCCTAAGTATGAATGTTCCTTAACAGCCAGAGACCCTTTCTCACAGTGACAGACACAAAGCACAAATTTAATATCTAGCAGGCACTCTGCCACAAAAGGGATGTTTTTAGAATGTATTGCAAAATAAAACAAACACTGGTGGGAAAATAAAAAGTACTGCCCCCTGCAGAATATAGTTTGGGAGATGCTAAAAAAGTTGAACATAGAACATAGTTGAACATCTGGCCCAGCACTTCCACTGGAGGCACAGACACAAAAGAACTGAAAACACGTTAGAATGAATACCTGCATGCACACGTTCATAGCAGTACTATTCACAATAACCTAACAAGGAAGACAACCCAAGTGTGTCAGCAGATGAATGGACAAATAAGAGGAGATTTAGACAAACAAGGAAATATTACTTAGCCACAGAAAGAGATGAAGTCTTGAGCAACCCTGAAAATATTATACTAGATTAGAGAAGTTAGACACAAAAGTCATGTATTTACATGAAAAATCCAAAATTGGTAAATCAAGAAAGAGAGAAAGCAAATTAGTGATTGTCAAGGATTAGGCAGATGGAGGAATGGAGAGCTATTGATTAATGGGTAGAGGGTTTCAGTCTTTAGTGGTTATAAAGTTGTGAAAATGGACAGCAGTGATAGCTACATGACATTGTGAATATATCTAATGCTAGTGAATTGTCCATTGACAAAGGGTTAAGATGGCAGCTTCTATGTTATATTCATTTTACCATTAAGGAAGGAAAAAGAGAAAAGTATCTAAATACAGTCAATTCTGTAATAGAAAAAGGATTTTCTAGGCAAGATGGAAAGAAACCAGCAACATTCAAAGTCTACCAGTTTCCTGTGGCCAGGGAGCATCCGGCCACAGTTACTCAGGTAAACTGTGCTCTTGGGCTTTCTACAACTGGAAATTTCTAGTAAATCAGGTTTCTCTGGTGAGTGGACTCATTATGTTATGGGCCAAGTGCTTAACATTTTGCTCCCCACAGAACCAAAATAAAGCCTGGGGTTTAGTTAGTAGTTGAGTCCTTAGATCTGACAAGCAAACCACAGCACAAATGTTAATAACAGGGAAAGCTAGAAGGGCACATGGGAAATCTGTACCTTTTGTGAATCAAACTCAATAGAGTCTTCTTTCCCTGCTGATTCCACCAGGTCTGTGAAGCTTTTCTATAAATCTAAGATTATCTCACAATTAAATTTTTTTTTAAAAAAAAGTAAGCCGGAATGAGAAAGAAGATAAAAGACAATAAATAGCTGGCAGTAAGAGAATATAAAAAAGGATATAGAAAAATAACATTAAAAAAGGTCATGGAAAATCTGACTTTGGAAGCCCTCTGAAAGTGAAATAAAGTGTATGGAATACTAAGGAGGGGATTGGTCAGCTTTGTCATCCTATTAATCCTAAAAAGAGTGAATCTCACAGTCTGGAAGGTGGCATGATTGTTAAGGGTCCTGAAGGTCAGTGGTCTGAATTCACCAGCTGCTTTATAGCAAAAGGATGGACTGTATCTTCTCATAAAGATTTACAGCCTCAGAAACCCCAGGGAGGGTTACCAACCAACTGGAGGCTTTTTTGGCCTTAACTATCATTAAAATTTGGTGTCTCTGAAAAACCCGCTAGAGGGTCAGTTATGAATAAATTCCCCCCACAATATCACACACCACCACCACCATTAAGATAAGGCAGGAATAGAGCAAATCTTTTGAACTTAGGGTCCCTTAGAACTCTGAAAACTTCCTAGATCCAGGATCCAGAGAGTCAAAGTGCTGGAGGTGGTATGAGAAGGAAAGAAAAAGTGTTAGCAGAACTGGAAAAATGGTCCAGTGGGCTTCCATCCCACAGAGAGAAATGGCCACAATGGGCATGCTGGCTGTGGACTGGAATAGCTGAGTATCATCAAGCAAGAGGCTTGTTGGTAAAATGGAGTGGCTCCAGACTGGGAGAGCTGAAAAGCTGTAACTCTTGCCTAAGGATCATCATAGGAGGCAGAGACCAAGCCAAGCACACGGGCATGAAATCAGAAACTAATTCATGTGAAATGCACCTTCAATAGCTAATATAAGGCAGCCAAGGAGAAGCTATTCTGATCCAACTGCATCCTGAGTTGCTACTTCCATGTTGATCCTGACCCTGACTATAATGTAATCAGTTAGTTTTGTTTAAAACACAAACAGAATAGCCATTACTGACATAATTGAGTATAGTCTGTGAGTTCTGTATGACCCCTGCAATGAATTATCTATAGACTGCTGTGGGAAAGAAGGATAATGTCAGACTGGTGAGGGGAATAAAAAAGAGGAAGTATATATGACTTCCACCTCCTAGGAATTAGTTTTAGGCTCATCTTGATTCTCATGCTCCCTGGTGAAGTTAGAGGACGTCTGAAGATGTCATGACACAATTTTACATGTCAGTCAGTTTATTGTTCTGTGATGACTTATATATTGCTCTGATGCAAGAATCTAGGCTACCAATATCCCAAATACCAGGATCATCTATGAAGGGTAGGTTTCAGCAACGTTTTTAAACTAAGAGAGACTCAGTCATTACTGTCAGGTTTCCAGAGAAAGACTGCCCATCTCTTTCCTAAGGAGCTGCTGGAGAAACTCATTTGGCCTTTGGGCTAGCAGCACAGCTCCCAACTTTTACAGATAATTGTCTGATTCTCTTGCTCTGGAGAAAGACCAAGAGTATAAATAATGTTGGGTGAAGTAAAGCAGTAACAAGGGTAACTCAGTGAGCAATATTGGCACAACAGTCTTAACAATGGCCTTGAGCATGCTGGCAATTGTAAGGTGGATGCATGACTCGGCAATGTCTTGTTCTGTGTCTATATAAGGTTGTCATGAGACTTGGAATCAACAGTGCCTTTTTAGATTGTGAATTTCTATAACTTTGAAGGTTTTTCAAATTTTTTCAGATCATTGTCCTCTAAGCTTTTATGCATGGCAAGCATTACAAATGCATTTGTAGTATCAATTTTCTCTACTTAAATCTTATGTCCACTCCATGGTCCTATGTTGACTCTCTGTAGGCTACATGTGACTTCTCTGTCATGGCTTTCCATGAGAAATCTTAGGCTTTCCTATTATTCAGCCCTCGGGCTTGTTGCCCAAGATTGCTATTATATGCAGTATTATTGTGAACATCTTTTTCCAGAGAAAGCAAAGTGTATTTTCTTAGGGTGAATGCCCAGTTCAAGGGTGAAATTGACATCTCTTGTCTAACAGGCTAGGAAGTTAAGCTAAATTAAACTAATTCATGTGAAATGCACCTTTAATAGCTAATATAAAACAGACCCATTTCTTTGTTGGGGCCCTGCAGCTCTGCTAAG